TTACAGGACAGATTGAAGGTAAGTGGGATAGAGATTGCAGTTCATTACCTACAGAAACGAGCTAGTGTAATTGTTGACAGAACGGGGATTAGGCAAGCTAGAAAAAAGACAAACTTTACTAATGGCTACAAAAGACAGGAAATTATGGAGAGCCATGATCACATGTCATGAAGGGATATTGTAAATAGAAGATGACATACAGTCTGGGAGCTTTCCAATACCACATTGTATAAGTTTCTGTTAATTCTTGTTATAAACTAAACTTCAAAGAAGGAATTATTTGAATGAACAAGTCTTGAATTCATTCAATTTATAACTTTGTCTTTGAAGTATTGGAATAAGACTTACCATTTTTTTAAAAGAAATATTTATCTAATAGAGATTTAATTTTTTTTTTTTTTTTTAAATTGTGATGCACGTAGACCAAGTTGAAAAATCCAGATTGTTGTTTTGTCTTGTATAATTTGTTTTTTGTTTTTAATTTATAAGAAAGTTTTATTAAGAGAAAAGTTTTAGTTCTTTTTTTCTTTTTTTTTTGTTAAAAAAAAACAAAAAAAAACTCTGTATGAAACTTTCTTTAGTTTAATATCAACCATTTTCAAAAACTTTGAAGTCACTTTGAAATTGACAAAGACACAGCTTATGAAAGTTAAATGAGTAAACTGGTACAGGTGAAAGTAATAAAATTTCAAAAAGAGTCTAACAATACATCATTATCAAAGGTTTATACCTATATTTTATGTCAGGTCACTCTTTGCATGGTACTAGTGCCATGTAACCCAATACTACCTGCTATTTTCTTTTTCTGGTGAGAAGGGTGGCTAGATATCCTGCAGTATTAAAAACAAGACCTATCAAATGGTGGATAAACCTCCTTACCATTTTGTACAATGGTATTGTGGTGAACAGTCCCATAGAAGCAAGTGAGCCAGAATGGCTTGCATCTGGTGCAATGGAAAATAAGTTCCTTACCTCAACGTGTGGCACGTGGCATCAGCAATTTCGCTCCTTGAAAATGGCATTACTCTCCCATCTAACTATTTCAACAGTATGTGCTGTAACAAGGGTTTTGTACAGTTTGCATGCTTCGAACAATGGCAAGTCATGTGCTGATTGGTCGGTCTGGAGAAGGCTATTTACCTGAATAACTGAGAATGAAATTGAAGAACGCTGATTGGTTGGTTGACCGCAGTGTTGGTCTGATAAAACAGGGCTGAAGCAGTGAAAAGAAAAAGACAGGTTTGCATTTTGAAGTGTGCAGAAAGCAAGAACAAAGGATTGGACCAGCGGTATCTTGAATTGTATGAATGACATCCGAGTACTAGAGACTCATTTAAACTACAGGGATATACTGGGCTCCATAGTTATGTATGCCAGCAGTGTTGTGATGGCACAGCATCACTGAGTAGAGGACTTCCTAAACTAAAGTTAATGGCCAGAACAATGGTTCCCCCTCCCCAATAGAATCAATAGCTATGTCTATGATTCAAGTTGGAGGACTGACCGTGGTTTGATCTGGAAAGGGATAGGTTCTGCCAAATTTATTTGCTCAAGACATACTGATGGAGAACCCAGATATGTGGAAGGAAGTCGTCAGGTGCTCAGAAGGCATGAATCCACCTCTTCTCCCACTTATGGGTTAATTAGTAAGACTTGTATCACTAAAATCATTATTATCTCAAAAAATATTCTTACAATCTAAAAATATTTTCTGGGTTTAAATAACCTGCAAAAGGTTGATAAGCTATTATTTAATGACCTGGCCACAGCTGGATGATCTGGGTCAAGTCCAGTTTCATGGATTTCTAGAGATCTTTGAAAAGCAGGAAGAGCCTTCAAAAGAAATGCATCAAAGACATTATCCTATCCCTATTAAGAAGTGAGGATTTATAAAGATTGTTTTTATTTAATTTGTAAAGATCGAAAAAGATTCTTTTTTTTTTTTAATTTGTAAGGATTGAAAAAGATTCTTTTTTTTTTATTTAATTTGTAAGGATCGAAAAAGATTCCTTTTTTTTTATTTAATTTGTAAGGATCGAAAAAGATTTCTTTTTTTTTATTTAATTTGTAAGGATCGAAAAAGATTCCTTTTTTTTTTATTTAATTTGTAAGGATCGAAAAAGATTCTTTTTTTTTTTTATTTAATTTGTAAGGATCGAAAAAGATTCTTTTTTTTTTTTTTATTTAATTTGTAAGGATCTAAAATTTTTTTTTTTTTTTTAGGATCTAAAAGATTCTTTTTTTTTAATTTGTAAGGATCTAAAAAGATTCTTTTTTTTTTTTAATTTGTAATGATCGAAAAAGATTTTTTTTTATTTAATTTGTAAAGATCGAAAAAGATTCTTTTTTTTTATTTAATTTGTAAGGATCTAAAAAGATTCTTTTTTTTTTTTTAATTTGTAAGGATCTAAAAAGATTTTTTTTTTTTTTTAATTTGTAAGGATCTATGAAGATTTTTTTTTCCAAACTCAAACATTCATGCTCTCAAAAGAATGAATCAATCTTCAAAATCCTTTCCTTTCAAAAAGTTACTCACACACATATTGATATCCCCAACTCCCTCAAAAAAAAATAGATTTCATAAAATTCTTCTTTCATAGAAAAGCCAGTAGTTTCACAATGTGCTAGTATTTTGCTGGATACAGAAAATAGGAGAAACTTACTATGACATTTCTGGACACTTTTCTCAGCATGGACAGAAAATCTGTTGGATTTTCCACAGTTCAACAAAAAAGCTTGATGTGCATCCTTGGTTCAGAACTCATAGAAAGTATTCTTTACAGGAGTTTGAAACTCATATGGGAAAATCTGAAGACTGTTTATAGAACTGAGAATGGGTATGATGCCAAGATGTTGCACAATGCCAGACTGTGAAACTGCTGAGTCATGTAATCAGCATCCTCAGTTTTCAGTTCTTTTTTACTACAGTTGGTTGATTGTTTTCTTGAAAAACCTCATTTTTAATATAAATGTCAGGTCCATCCAATATAGCTCTACATTCATCTCCAAATCAGTTTTCATGTACTACTTCACCCAATTATATGTTTACTTGAACGTGATAATTTTGTCACTTTCATGTCTTGAGTCAATTCTCTCAATATTCTGTAACTTTTCTTTTTGTTTACAGCACCAACCTCCTCAACTATTTTTGTTGTTGTTGTTCAATCTACTTTGGTTATTTATTAACCTTTTAATTTTTCTCAAATCTCTTTTTATAAAATACTTGAAACCTGTTTTTATTTTTTTTATTCTTTTGGCAATGTCTTCAATTACATTTTATAATGGCTTTTGTTCAACTTTCAAAAGTTGTATCACCATTTCTCAATGTCTTTACGATATTTTCTTTCTCTTTTGATGTTATGTCTAACTTACAACCCAATGTTTATATGTTTGAAAAGTAAAATATACTAAGTGATCAATTATATTACAACATGATGAACAACTCTCAAGTTCCATAACAAAATTGTACACAAAAATTTTTTTTTATCCACTTCACCCCAAGCAAGGCAATAATGCTACCAAGACACAGGGAGGCTACTGGAAGTGCAAGAGAATAAGAAGACTTTAGAAGTAACTGGAAACCCAATCCTAAACAAGAAACAAGGGATAAACCTACGCTCTTGTTCAAAAGAGCAAGGAGGAGTGTGAACCGGGCGATAGGCGAACCTGTCTACTCTTATTAGAGATATTAACAAAAAATGTATAAAACTTTCAAAATGGCATAATAAAATTTCCTATAAATGTATAGTGGGAATAATTTACCAAAATGTGTCCTAGAATGTTTAATATAACAAAATCTGTCCTAGAATGTCTGGGTATACAAAAATAGAATGTATACAAAATCTGTCCTAGAATGTCTGGGTATAATATGTATACAAAATCTGTCCTAGAATGTCTGGGTATAATATGTATACAAAATCTGTCCTAGAATGTCTGGGTATAATATGTATACAAAATCTGTCCTAGAATGTCTGGGTATAATATGTATACAAAATCTGTCCTAGAATGTCTGGGTATAATATGTATACACGCGCATACCCACTACTGGACTCTGCCAGCATTTTCAACATCTGAGAGGACAGCAACTCAGAGAATTGGTGCTCATAATGTACCACAAGGTCCCCAAATAACTTTCCTCAGGTTTTGAATTCAGAATTGACCTTCTACTAGACCAGTTGGCACCCAAGGCTATTTATCCATAGCTGGGGTGGGGGAAGATATGGATTCCTACCCTTCCCCAAGGGTATTTGCATGTAAGGGAATGTAATGAACTTGACTGGAACTTGAACTCTCCAATTCATCAATCCAAGTAGAAAAATTGAAATCTGTAAATAGTGAAAGTTTCAGAGGAATTTTGAGAATCGAGAAAATTGGCACTTAAATTAAAAACCATCCAAGTAAGTTCTGAATATAAATTCATAATTATTTACATTATTCGGACTGTTACCCTCATCTTCATAACATTCTGGACATTGTATGCTCTGGATTGGAATTTCAAACTGAACCTTTTATATCTAGATTGTTCTAGTTCTGTGCCATGCCTCTTCTGGATGTCTCAGTTATCTCCCTTTAACTTAACTCTTCAAGTTTTTTGGTGAACAACTCTAGTCACTGAATCTAACCAACGTCATTATCCACTGGACCATGTGTCCTTGAGTGCATCTGTGTATGAGTTTTTCCTAATGTCTCAGTAACCGTTTTTCCCAGTGCTCATATTACAATTTTTCTGTTATTCTTTCATATTTTTTTTTTACCACAGCTTATATTGTAATTCATAATGTCATAATAATGGCAACAATATTGTTGAATTCTGTCATTAAAAAAAGAAAATAATGAGAATTTTTTTAATAATTCTAACATTTTTTTTTTTTGTTGCTGACATCATTGATCCTTTTTTTTCTCTTTTTTTTTTTCCAGATTTAAAAAGAGAAGCAAGCATTTGTCATATGTTAAAACATTCTCACATTGTGGAACTGCTGGATACGTATAGTTCAGATGGAATGCTTTATATGGTTTTTGAATTGTAAGTTCACTTTTTATTTTCATTTTCTTAAATTCATTTCGAACAACTTATTTCAGGCCATTAATCTAGATACATGGGGATCTTTACAGCTTCCTATCCCTTATAATTCTTAGGAATGTTCCCTTATCCATCTCAGTGCCTGATTTACCATCTGTTTACACACTGTTAGGTTTTCTTGCTGTCCCTGTGAGTGTCAAATTCTCTAAGCCCTCTTTCTTCATAGGTCTCAAAAACATCAACTGTCTCTTTCTAAGTACAACTGAGCTTTCTCTTTGCATTTTCCTTAAAACTTCCTCATTGCTCACATGTTCAGTTGATGGTATTCTCAGTATACCCCTGTAGAAACACGTCTTTGTTATTTCAAGTCTCCTCTTTATCTAAGAAACAATTGTCTACCATTCACTGCAATGTATGAGGATTGATATAAGTAACAGCCCAGCACTCTTTTCTTTGTTTCTAATGAAATTTTTCCATTTTTTTTCATACTTTGCTTACTTTTGGAAGGCATCTGCCTCAGCATTCTTCTGTAGAACCACATTTCTGTTGCTTCAAATCTCCTCTTCATATCTGAGGAGATTGTCTAGCATTCACTGCCATATAGGAGGACTGATGTTACATAAGAGTTCAGTATTCTTTGTTTCTCATGAAATTTTCCCATTTCTTCAAATTTCTTTGAACTAATTCAAAAATTTAAAGGAAAATTAACTTTTCCATTTGTCGTTTGATTTCATTTACACAAAAATGGCAAAATGACAAGTGATGTAATTTATTCATTTGAAGTCGTTTCTTATCTTTGTCATCTTTTACTTGTGACTTTCTGCCTGAATTTCTTAAATTAGACATTTTACTATTATAGGAATTACGTCTTCCGGCTATACCAACATAATAATTTAGGTCATAACAAACACGCTTTTTCATATCTACTTGTTATGAGTGTCTATCTGCTCATAGAAAGAGACACTGTATAGTCTCTCACAAGTTTGATTCTGGAGTTTACTGGTGTCTGTGTAAATGTGTTGAACAGGAGTAAATCCTCAATCCTACCTCTCTTCAATCAGTTTGACGTATTGACATCAACTTCTGTAAAACACTTTGCTTGGAAATTCTCTTCCAACTTAGGATTCTTCAGGAGTATCTTTGCCAGATTTTCTCCCTGAACAAAATCTCTACTGAGTGATATGAACATAATTCTGACCATGGTGTCTGCTTATCTCCAAACTAGATTCCCACAAAGCTTGCAGACTTGATAGTATTCTTGCAATTGTCTTAAGGGAATGTGCACTTGAAATGGCTCCTGTTTTCTCCAAACTCTACAATGACTTCTTCTTGCTTTCCATCTTGTTGGAAATCCTCTTCTGTAGTTCCTGCCTTTAAGAATTTTGATGAACCTTCTGGTCCATTGAATGATCACCCTATTAGTCTTTTAGTTCTTTTTGACTCTAAAAACCATTAAAATAGTTAGGCATCTCACTTGATGCAGCCTTCTTTTGGATAAGCAATATTGCGTTCGTTTCTCTAGGCTTTCCACTCATGTGTTACCAGTTATTACTAAATTTTTCTATCAGACTTTAGATAAGAACTGTGAGGCTTGGGCTGTGGCTTTAGATATCTCAATGGCATTTGACAGGGTTTGGCATGTTGGCCTTCTTGCCATAAGCTTAAGGGTTATGGATAAATATTTGGCTCAATACAATTATTTTTAACAAATCCTGTAATAATGGTTATGTCAAATGAGCATGTTTCTTGATCTTTTCACATTAATGTGGATATCCCCGAGGGTCGAGTCCTTGAACCTAAGTTGTTTCTTATCTTCATCAACAACCTCCCCAATGTCATCAATTCTCAACTAGGTCTTGTGCTATTTACTTAAGTCTTAATAGTAAGTCTAATCAGTCCAGTTGGTTAGTTTTGTTTAGTAGCATATTAATCTCTATGGGTTATTTAAATCCAAACTCTAAATCTTTTGTACATAATTTTATACTTTCAGATTAAAGCTATGATTTTTAGATATAGTTTATAGCAAGTTATTGTTGGTAATTTACTATAAAAATGTATCTTTATATTTTTTTTTGGTGTTGCAATTATCATTTTGCTATAAAAATGTATTGTTGGTCATTTTTTTATAAAAATGTACCTATGATTTTTGTTTAGGGGTTGACTATTTACCCGTAGCTGGGATCCTAACAGGTGCTACAACCCCAGGTCAGGGTAAACCAGGGAAAAACAGCAGTTAAGAGGTGGATCCACACTCCTCAAAAGCCCCAAACTCCTGTTCAGGGTCTTTGCTGCCAGATGTAGTAGAACATCATACCTGGATGACAGATGATGCAAAGGGTTAATGAATGTGAATGAATATAAGAAAAGGAGAGAGAACAATAAAAGTTTACAAATTAGGACGACTGACATTAAATTTTTGAAGATCAAAGTTTTATTTTATTACGACAGCCATGTCAACCTCTATGGGTTATTTAATTCCAAAATCTAAATCTTTTGTACATAATTTTATACTTTAAGGGTAAAGGTATGTTTTTTTTTTTTTTTTTAGATATATTATTTGTAAAGCACAAAATTTATTGTTGGTAATTTTACTATAAAAATGTATTTTTATATTTTTTTAGTGTTACACTGATTGTTATTTTGCTATAAAAATGTATTGTTGGTCATTTTATTGTTTGGGTTTCACTATTTGCCCACAGATGAGACCCTAACAGGTGCTACCACCCCAGGTCAGGGTAGACCTGGGAACAACAGTAAATAAAAGGTGGTTCCATGCTCCTCAAAGCTTCCAAATTCTCCATCAGTGGCCTTGCTTCCAGATGTAGTTTATCATCATACTCAGGATGACCAATAGGTCTGACAAAGTAGAAAAAAAAATTGTGATATAATGTAATTATATATTTTTTTTTAATCATTTCACCCCAAGTAAGGCAATAAAGCCACTAGGATTCAAGGGGGTTACTGAGTGTTAGAGAATATGAAAAAAAATGACATTTACGGAGAACAATAAAAGAACAAGAATTAAGAAGACAAGATAATAATTGACATTGCATTTAAATGGAAACCAAGAAACTGGAAGAGAGTTCTACAAACGAGAAGTGAGAAAAGGAACTCTTAGCATAGAACTTACAGTTGCCTCGAGTTATTTCAACTGTAAAATGATGAGAAATAGCTGTCTATATTTCTGAGATAAGGTATTATGTACATTATTTACATTATTCAGACTATTGTCCTCATCTTTGTCGCCATATTTATTACAACGTTTCGGACGCTGTACACTTCGGCCTTCTTCTTGGTTGGAATGTCGAACTGAACCCTTTATTTCGCTCACTGGGGTAGACTGTTCTAGTTCCACGTGTCATGTTTAATGGATGTTAATTCCCCTCTCCTCTGGCACAGTGGATAAAGGTGTTAGATCCAGTGACAGGACCCAAAGAGTGTGAGTTAAATACCCGGCTAAGGCAGTGGAGAACTTTCAGAAGGAAATTAACAGGAGATAACTTGTAACTGATATCCATTAAAACATGGCATGTGGAACTAGAACAGTCTACCCCAGTGAGCGAAATAAAAGGTTCAGTTCGACATTCCAACCACCTGAAGAAGGCCTGAGCATACAATGGCTGAAATGTTGTAATAAATATGGCAACAAAGATCAGGACATTAGTCTGAATAATGTAAATAATGATGAGAAATAAGTATTCTGAATTATTAAATCTCTTTTAAATATTGGCCTTGAGCCTGGATAGGTGAACCTCAAGAAAGATAGAATAATGATATGAGAAATATCATCAGAAAAAATGTGATTGGTACAAAACTGCCAACTGCAAATTTTAGACAGTTTTTAATTGAATTGGGAGAAAGAATTTTTAGGTTGCAATAAAATTTACTTCATCAAATTTTTACTCATTGTCGAAAAAACTTTTTCATTTGTTGAAACGGAAAATATTGTCATTTATAATTTTTCAGTTTTTTTTTTTTTTTTGTTTTTTGAGAAAATTGAAAAAAAGAAAAAAAATGTAATTATTTTCAATATTCTCAATGTTGGTCATAAGTAACCAAATAGTCACTTTCATGGAAATTTTCTCTCTTCATCTTTTAATACAATTTCACTTTTACCAATTCCTCTTCCCATGCCATTTTACTGATAGAAATATCTAAAGATGGCTCTTTGAAAAAAAATTTTTTTTAGAAAATTGAAATTAGCAAAATTCTAGTTGGAAGTCTCCAAACAATTTCCAGTAATCAGTAAAAGAATAATTCCTGCTATTCTTCTGCAACCTCTTCTCGCTTTCAGGCTAGATTCTCAATTATTACATGTTATATATATATATATATATATATATATATATATATATATATATATATATATATCACATCTTTAAATAAAGGTTTTCCTCTGTGACTCATCCTCATTTTTAGAGAATCATGGATTGATAAACTTTTAAATGTCAATATAAATCTATTCTGTTAAAAGACTGCTTCTGTTTTTCAATCAGTGATAAGCTTGTAATAAACAATTTCACATTTTTTTAATCTAACACTTTTACTGTTGCATTGTTGCTTGGCTGTACTGGCCCATTTTGTTAGAAATATGAAATTGTCATTTACTGGAAATAAATGACTATAAAGATGCTGATGGTGATTTTTTTTTTTTTTTTTTTTTTTATAACCATCACCATTATATGATACTCTGATATATAGAGTAATATTATAAGCTACTGTATTTCTGATCTAGTTTATTTATAGCACAAACACTAGAGGCTACCATTTTCTTTGAAAATGTATATATATATATATATATATGTGAACAGCAGGCAATGTCAGTCTTGTAAAGATGTATATGTCTGTCCACAGCAGTGGAAGTGTTAAACTTTTGTTCCAGTAAACATTAAGAAAAAAAAAAAGATTGTTCTTAATTGTGAAAGTTCGAGATTTGAATGAATTAAGACATCTTATGAATGAAAAAACATTCAGTTAAGTGTTTCTTGGAAACATACTTTTCTCTCTTAAGAGCAGGGCTGGTGCATACTGTTTTCTTTTTTTTTTTAATCAGGTTCACCCTAAGCAAGGCAGTAAAGCTACTAAGATACAAGGGGTTACTGGGCATGGAAGAATTAGAAACAGAAACATTACTAATAAACTTGAAAAAAAAAATGAGTAATCAGGAGGACAGGGGATAGCAATTGATATTGCATTTAAATTTCTAAAGATTAAAATTGGCTGGAAAGGATTGAGCCAGAAGGGAGTTCCACAAGTGAGAAGTGTGAGAAAAGAAACTGTTAGCATAGAATTTACAGTTACATCTAGCCAGATCAACTGTAAATTGATGTGATCTCAACACCAGTATTGTACTGCGCTTAAATTCAAAAAGTCAGTGTACAATAGTGAAGAGACCATCTGAAGTCAAAACATCAAATCAGGACCAATAATATTGCTGATTCTTCTTTGGATTTTATCAAGGATCTTTCTCAGTATAAGTAATACCCTTACAACGTAACAACTACCCTGGGTACATGGCAGCAGCCACCAAAAACTGGGATATGCGGGTACAAGAGGAGGAGGACAACAACACTCAGAAAACAGTCTGCCTGCCTTATGTGAAGGGGTTATCAGAGAAAATACAAAGGATCTGTGGTCCATATAACATCAGGACAACCTTCAAAAGCGTGACTACACTTCGCAGATATCTCTCCTGAGTGAGATCCCCCATAGAGGAGAACATGACTAAAGACTGTGTGTACGCTATCCCGTGCAGCTGCGGAAAGGAATATAAAGGAAAGACAGGCTGCCCCCTCAAGGTAAGGCTTCAAGAACTCCAGAAGGCTGTAACACGAGTGGAAGTGGAAAAATCAGGCGTGGCTGACCACATATAGAGAGAAAAGGGAGATCACCGCCCTCTGTGGGATCAAGTTGAGATTATAGACAAGGAACACCATTGGAAAATTTGTAAACTTAAGGAATCAGCACAAAAATCTCCTGAGCTGACCAAGCATAGAAATGAATACAATATGAGAACCAGTAATAAGGAGTGCCAGAGAAAAGCGATAATAACAACAAAGTTGCAATAGGAGCTCTGGTAAAAAACATGCAATGATAACAGCAAAAATTGCAATATGAGCACTGGTAAAAATGGTTGCTGAAGACATTAGGTTTATAATACTCAAAAATTCATACACAATGAACTCAAGGACACATAGCACAGTGGATAAAGGCATTAGTTAGATTCAGTGACAGGAACAAAGAGTGGAGAACTTTCAGAGGGAAATGAACAGTAGATAACTGATAACTGACATCCATTAAACATGACACGTGGAACTAGAACAGTTTACCCCAGTGGGTGAAATTCCACATTCGACATTCCAACCACCTGAAGAAGGCTGGAGCGTACAATGTCCGAAACGTTGTAATAAATATGCTGACAAAGATGAGGACAATAGTCTGAACAATGTAAATAATGTACATAATACCTCATCTCAGAAGTATAAACAGATATTGAAGGATCTCTACATATATATCAGGAACATTGGGCCATATATGGCATCAGTATTCTAAGCCTGGATGAATGATAGACGGAGATATATGGCGTAGATTCTGGATAGAAAAATGGTCAAGCATGACAGTGAACCAACTTTCTTAGCAGCTAACTAGCAATGGAACTCCTTGAGGACATGGGGGACAAGCCTCATTGGGGGCCCCAGGCAGTGCTTTGTGATCTTCACTATCTTATCAACATATACTTTTTTCTACCTACATTTATATACATTACAAATTAAACTAAGCACAACTGACTATTAAAGGATAAAACATTTTCATGGATTTGACGTCATTCTGGGGTCCTTTTTTTGTGTTTAAATCCATTTTGCGTTTGCTATGTCCCAAAAAACACTATAAAATTCACTGTTTTTTATCAATAATGTTGAATATGTTAAAATTCTTTAATTTTTTAACAAGAAAGCTCAAGTTGATGTTAAAAATTGCCACTAAATATTGTTCATTTATTTAAGATGGAATGATCTATTATGACATGTCTCTAAGTTGTATTTAAATACATTGTATTTATTTTCACTTTTTCTAGTTGAATTGTTCACCCATATTGCATATGTGCCATTATTCTACATAATTAGTTTACAATAAAATTTGTATTTTATATAAATACTTCATAAGAAAATTGAGATATAGTAAAGTAGGGGGCCCTGTATAATAAATTTGAGGTGGGGGTATCATAAATTCAGGATGGGGCCCACAATACCCTTGCACCAGCCCTGCTTAAAAGTATATCACTTTGTCACATATATATCTGTTTTATTAATTGTTTATTGGTTGTTATTTATTAGTGATGATTATTGTTTATTGATTTTTATTAATGTTGTTTACTAGTTATGGTTATTGGTTGTTTACTAGTTATGGATATTCTTGTTTATTAGTGATGTTTATTGGCTTTTGTGGTTGTTTACTATGTTTATAGATCTTAATGTTTATTAGTGATGGTTATTGCTTATGTTTATTAGTGTTTATTTATTATTGATGTTTATTAATTGACTTGTAATAACTTTTCATTCAATATTTTAATATTTCTTTCTTTCACCATCTGTTTCAGCATGCAAGGAGCAGATCTTTGTTTTGAAATTGTCAAAAGAGCAACTGCTGGTTTTGTTTACAGTGAGGCTGTTGCCAGGTAAATATTCCTTTAATTTTTTTCTGTTGACCTGTAAATGTTGATAACATGTGCAAGGAGATTGTGAAAAGTTGTCTCCCCCCAAAATTTAATGAACTGATCAGAATTCAGGGTTTTGATTATTTTTAAAGTATTTATTGATTCAGGCCAAAGATTTTTCCACCACCTGATGAACTCATTATTGTTACTGTTAGATTTTCTGTTGTCATCCATTGATGTCAAATTAAAATCTGGAAAAGAAACAATAAATGAAATAAATTCTGTCTAAAATTGGAACAAGATAAATTCTAAGTAAATTCTGGTCAAATTTGTTGTCAACAAGATCTTTTTTGTTTTTATTTTGATTCTAAAAGGTTAAATAAAAATACAACACTGACCACTAGAATGATTGGCAATCAACAGAACGTGTTTGGAACTTGACACCTTTGCATTGATAAATAATTTTAAAAAAATAAACACAAAATGTTTAATGCTCGTGAAATGAACAATTTGTTTGCATTTCCGATAATGACCACACAACAATAATCAGTCAGTTCTTGATGTTAGTTTTAATAAACTTTGGATTTGAATTCCAAACTCTAAGTATTTGAAGTTCAATTTCAAACTCCTGTCTTAATAAAAGTCCTACAAAGTAAAACTTGCAGCTGATTTTAAAAATGAGCTCCAATCAGTGCTTAACTGAGGCCAGGAATAGTTTGTAATTTTAACACCTCCAAAATGAAACTGTTATCTTTTAATCACCATAAAGGACCACTTTTTGCCTCTCATGAGTATGGCTGATGCTAACCTCCAGGATAGCAATTCATTGCTTCTTCTTCATTTCATATTTTGCCTGACATGAAGTGAGGAGTGATTAAATTGAATCAATTGCTAGGTCTGCTACAAAGAAAGTTAGTTCACTGTATCATGCCAGACAATTTTTCTCATCAGAATCAATCTTACACATTTATAAATTTACCATTTGTTTGTGCATTGACTATTGCTACCATATCTAATAAAGTGAGAAAAAAGGATCTGTGATGTTATCGGTCCTGACTTTGTATCTTGACTTCAGTCACTTTCCCACCACTGTGACGTGGCTTCCCTCAGTTTTTTTTTGTTTTTTTTTTTCTATAAATATTTTCTTGGCAATCGTTCTGATGAGTTTTCCTCCTTGGTAACGTGACAGCATGAATTTAAGCTTATTACTCGATTGGCAATTAGGTCTCATTGTTTTACTGTTGAAATAGATGGAACTGTCAGTTCTATTCTAATTGTTTCTTTTCTCGCACTTGTCACCTCTGGAATTCCCTTCTGATTTTTTGCTTCCCTGCCAACTACAATTTTCAAAAATTTGAATGTAATATCAATCAACATCTTTTGTCTACCTGAAACCTGTTCTTTTATTGTCCTCATTAATGTCTTTTCATTCTCTTTCACTCCCAATATCTCCTTGCATCTTAGTGGCATTATTGCTTTGCTCAGTGTGAAATGATTTAAAAAATATCAAAGTAATTTTTTAAGATGAACTTGAAACCCTGTTACACAGCCTCTAAGGGAAATTATGTGAAAAGAATGTCCCGTGGAATATTGTGCTGCTCTAAATAATTTGTGAATGACATCAAAAATCATAATGGTTTCCATATTCCTTGAAAATTTGACACAGGTCAAAGGTTAAAGAATACACTAATCAAAACAACAATGAAGAGATATATATATGCATGCATATATTTTTAGTATAAAAGTTATTTTTAGTGAGTACTTTTGTCTGAGTTGCTATCCCTGGGTTTTTATTTCCATAAACAGTAAAAATAGTAACCCCCTAAATTAAGAAATCCTACTAAAGAAAAACTCTGAATCCAACAGGAATTGAACCTGTATGCCTTTTTCTTTTTCATTTTTTCTTTTTCAAATTTAAAAAAAGTAAACATTGATAGCAGCTCAATGTGTACCCACTAAAACTAATCTTTTTAGTGATAGGAAATAATTTTGGATAAAAAAATCCCTTCATATATATATATATATATATATATATATATATATATATATATATATATATTTAGTGGATATACATGTTGGAGTAGATGTCTGTATTTTTAAACAGTGTAATTAATGTCCACTAGCCTAGATATTGACAATCCTATGAATGAAAATGTCTCCCAACAGGAACCAACTTGTATTCCCTTTTTAAATCACAGAAACCACTTTTAAGCTAGTTATACTTTACTAGTAGGTTATGGGAAGCCATCACAGCAAAGTAAGGATCATTTACCTAATTTAAAAAAATGTCCATTTTTCATTTTGATCTTTCAAAATCTATATCTTCTAACTTTATCTTCATATTTTGTATTTTTTGATGTTATCCTGTGGTCTCATGGTAAGGTACACTTAGCTTAAGTGATTTTCCTGATTAAAAAAGGCAACACAGCATTGATTTCTGTCAGGGGCACATTTTCTTTAGTAAAACTTGATCTCCAGGCCAGTACATACTAATTTCAATGTTAAAAAACCCAGGTCTCACATAAATGTGAAGTTGTTTTGCAATAGCAAAGATGCCTACCAAAAACTAAAAGTAAGTGGAAAAAATTAATTTGAAATAAAGAAAAGATTGCTGAATTTCTATGTAATACCAATCCTATAATATGGCAGTGAATGCTGGATTATTTCCTCACAGATGAAGAAGAGACTTGTAGTAAGACAGTTGTTGTTCTATAGAAGGATGCTCAGAATACCATGAACTGAACATGAAGTTTTAGACAAAATGGAAACAAAAAAGACATATTTAACATCAGAAAGAGATAATTGAAATGTCTAGGATGCATAATGAAGAAAGGGGACTTGGAAAATTTGATACTCACAGTACACATTGAAAGCAAGAGTGAAAATGATATATAATATTCCTTAAAATAATTTTGAGGAAAATAGAAACAAAAAGGACACTGCTACTTAATAAGAGACAGTTGAAATTTCTGAGGCACATAATGAAGAAAAAGGGCTCGGAGAATTCAACACTTATAGGATATGTTGTATGTATGAAAGGCAGGGGAAACAGTGGGTAGCCTACGTAGGGTGAGTTTCTATGGTTAAATGTAAAATAAATAAATGAAAGTACTGCCCAATGGAATTAAGTTTGCAATAAACATTACAACAAAAAGAACAGAGCAAAAAATAAAATAAAAACAATATATGCAAGGCAAATCAACAGTAATAAGGCAAATCAACAGTAATAAGGCAAATCAACAGTAATAAGGCAAATCAACAGTAATAAGGCAAATCAACAGTAATAAGGCAAATCAACAGTAATAAGGCAAACAGTAACATGGCAAAAAGTTCACAAACTAAGAATTGGGGTTGACACACAAGAGCTAGTTCAGCCAAGTGAATGTAGCATTCTGACTTCAAGACAAGACAGAAAGGGACTGAGTCAGGTAAAAACAAGAATTGGCCTATTGGCTAGGAAAATATCCCAGTATGTATTTGTGCACTTCTACCTATAAATTGGGGTGGGACAAGTGTTTTTGAATCATTCCCATTCTGGATTGAAACAACAAACTACCTGTAAATTTGTGTAAATGAATGACAAAACAGAGACTGTGAGAGATAGTAAAGAGACAAGCATTATTTAAAATTATAAGGTTTAGGATGTTGTGGAGAGCCTTCATTGTGAAGGGACATAGAAGAAATAGTATGCATAATTTTAGTGTCAATGGTTCTGTTATTTTTGCAGTTTATTGATTAATGTCTTGACAGTTTTTTCTTCTCTGTAAATTATTGATATGAATTCTCTGCTTAAAAATTTGTATAACTTTTATTCTCCATAACAATAGCCGCTACCAAAATTAAGACTAAAAAAAAATTCTGTAATGAATATTAAAAGTGAAAATTATTTGACAAAATTTTGTTGGAATAAAAAGGAAAAACAATTTCAATATAAATTTTTGAGAATTATAGCTTAGTTGATAATTTACAAATATGTTTACTTTAAGAGAATTTCTCCTGCCTCATGATATTTTTCCTCACATATGAAATGAATATAAAGAATTCCTTCTGTTTTCTTTTTAACTAACTGTTTGACCATTTACACTCTCCCAGCCATTACATGCGTCAAATGCTCGAGGCCCTCCGCTACTGCCATAACAATGACATCATTCACAGAGACCTCAAACCCCACTGTATCTTGTTGTCGTCCACTGAGAATTCTGCACCTGTCAAGATTGGGGGATTTGGAGTTGCCATTCAGTTGAATGAAATTTCTGGCAAAATCTCTGGAGGTAAGTTTTGCTCTAACATCATTTTTAAGACTTTACACACATTTTGCTGAAAGTTTGGAAAGAAATTAAAATGATGATATTTGTAAAAAGGTTGGAATAAATTTCAAATCTTAGCCAGTTACGAGTTTTGTTCAACTACCAAATAGTTTTTATATATATATATATATATATATATAATAATTATTTTTTTAAAAATATTATTCCATCACTACATAGGAATTGCCATGTTTCAAAAACAGAAGCTAAAAACTTCCAATTCAAGTTTAGAAATTAAATTAAAATTAAAGCACCTAGTTCTGTTTCATCCTCAAGTGAATTTTGTAATAACTAATTTTGAAATTTATGGAGCTTTATAAGCATATCCATTTCTATAGATATGGAGAAAACCAATTATTTTAATAAGGGGTGGGTAGGGTTATCATTTTCACTGACAACTATTGTATCAACATATGAGTTACTTTCGAAAAGAGGTTAAGTCAAGGTAGGGTCGGGCTGCCTTTTTTCAAACGAATGATGAAGCATATCATCTGGACTTTTTCAATGACAGAAAGTTTTTGGCACTTTTGTTACACTTTTAAATTTGTATTTGTATACATAAAGATTTTTTTTCTAAGAGGATTGTTTGTATATGAATACGTCATATTGAACTACAATTTGTTCTTTTGTTGACAACTTCTTAAAGGGTTTTTTTCAGTTTATGATTGGGTTAAGTTTTTAAACTTATTGCTGTAATTGAACTTGTTTATAGATTTTGAAATTTTTAATTTTTTACGGGAATTATTTAAGGTGAATATTTGTTGGTATCGGCAAAAAAACATTATCTCATGTCTTTGATTTAATAAATTTTCTTTTTTTAGAAACTTAATAATGTGTAGTTTTTCATGTAGGCATAAAGGGCATGGGTCATCCAAGGTTTTACATGTTCTTGTTCTATTTGTTATTTTCCATTTTACTTTTGGTATTTTATTCATTTCTTTTAAATGCCAAAAATATTTAGATAGGGAAGTCTGATGTCTATTGCAAATATTATTGAAGGAACTTTTATCAGTTCATTAGAATTGTATGGCTGGTTCTACAAAAGCCTTCACCACAAGAATCAAATTATGTGGGTGAGTAGTCTGGTGGTCCCATTCTTTAACAAACGAAAGAAGTAACTATTGAGAGTGGCAAAAGAGTCCCCCTTCTCTCTCTCTCTCTCTCTATATATATATATATATATATATATATATATATATTATTTATTTAAAAATATGATTCCAACACGCTACATAAGGGGTCTCATGTTTCAAAAACAAGAGCCGAAAACTTCAATATAATTATTTGAATTTAATTGAATTAAAGTAAGCTCTGTTCCATCTTCAAGCGAAATTTTTTTGGAATAACTTATTTCTGAAATTTACGTGTTTTAATAGCATATTCATTATTGAAATCAAAATTTCTATGGTAACGGCTAGAGCGATTGTTTAAATATAAGGGGTGTAGGTGTTAATAATTTGTATCAGTATAGAGCTACATTCACAGACGTCAAGTCAGGGTAAGGTTGGGGTGTCTAAATTTAAAAACAGAAGATGATTTCGCCAAGTCTGGTTTACGTGTCTATGGAGATTTATTTTTTTTTTATTTTATACTGTATAGAGAATACCAAGAGAATACCAATAGTAAATATAATCTTTCTAATTTTCTCTATTTTAAAATTAGTAGAACTCCTCACTACCATGAGCCTGTCATCTCTATACAGTATAAAATAAAAAAAAATAAAAATCTCCATAGACACGTAAACCAGACTTGGCGAAATCATCTTCTGTTTTTAAATTTAGTAAAATATTTAATAAGAACACCCTAAAATCGAGTTACAGCTGCACTGAAAATCTAGAAAGTATAATAAAAAAAACACAATAATAAAATCCTGAACAAACCCCCATGCCTGAATAGTATTAATAAAAACCCTACACTTATATTAGAAAAATTATGTGATTGTAGAAACCCAGAAGACTGCCCATTGGAAAATAAATGCTGCGTCAAATCTGTGGTATACCAATGTATTATCTCATCCATTGAGAGTCCTAATACTAATATGATATACATTGGGTCTATGAAGAATGAATTTAAAGCCAGAGGGAGGCAGCATAAATGCTCTTTCAACAATATTAATAAAAGAAATCAGACATCTCTATCTAAATATTTTTGGCATTTGAAGGAAATGAATAAAACACCAAAAGTAAAAAGGAAAATTATAAACAAAACTAGAACTTGTAAAACTTGGGATGACCCATGCCCTTTGTGCCTGCATGAAAAACTACACATTATTAAGTTTCTAAATAATAAAAATCTATTAAACAATAGACATGAGTTAACGGTTGTTTGACGACATCATCAAATTTTTGCATTGAATAATTAGCATAAAAACAAACAATAAAATAATTTTTAAATACCCTACAAATAAAGATAACCTTTTATGTAGTCGTGAAAAAACAAATGTTACAGCGTTTTTTGTTTTTTTTATATACACAAAACCCTTTCGGAAAAAAATAAAGTAAAAAAAAAAAAAAAAAATAAATCTCCATAGGCACGTAAACCAGACTTGACGAAATCATCTTCCGTTTTTAAATTTAGATACCCCAACCTTACCCTGACTTGACGTCTGTGAATGCAGCTCTATACTGATACAAATTATTAACAACTACACCCCTTATATTTAAACAATCGCTCTAGCCGTTACCATAGAAATTTTGATTTCAATAATGAATATGCTATTAAAACACGTAAATTTCAGAAATAAGTTATTCCAAAAAAAATTTCGCTTGAAGATGGAACAGAGCTTACTTTAATTCAATTTAATTCAAATAATTATATTGAAGTTTTTCGGCTCTTGTTTTTTGAAACATGAGACCTTATGTAGCATGTTGGAATCATATTTTAAATAAATAATTATATTTATGCTTTATTTTTGTATCGAGCACTATTTTTTAAAATAATAACTAAAATACTAAAAGAACTTTGGATTATTTACCTACTTGAGTTCTTTCCTATTTTCTATATATTTTCACACACACATATATATATATATATATATATATATATATATATATATATATATATATATATATTATATATATATATATTTTTCATTGATTTTTTGCATGTTTCATTAAATAATATAGACAAGTGTTGTCTATTTATTTTATGTAAATTCTTTCCATACCATCTGATAAGCTTAATAACATTATCATTAAAGGAAGAAAGAAAATCACAATATTGATACATATTTTTTAATCCTATCTAAGCTTTCAGCTTACATAAAAGATATCAATTACATTACAATATATTAAGCAATACACGGACAAAACAGTGATGATAGTCTGTTTCTGTTTACATGGAAGATTTCCGAGCAACGGCAAACTCATGCATATAAGACGTTGGAAGCGAAAGTCGAACCGCAGCTCATGACGTCACACATGACCACGCGAGAGTGAAAATGAGAAGTATACACAAAACAATAAACAAAAACTAAAAATTCTTGAAACTATATACATAAAACAGTTGAAACCTAACCTGAACAAAATAAACTATGAAATCATTCACAAATATTCTTAAATGCCTATAATTGGTAACAAAAGTCATTGGTTTATACCAACGGCTTCCCATACTTAATACTTCTTGAATTCACTCTCACGTGGTCATGTGTGACATCATGAGCTGCTGTGCAATTTTCGCTTCCAGCATCTTATATGCACGAGTTTGTTGCTTGGAAATCTTTCATGTAAACAGAAACAGACTATCATCACTATCTTGTCCGTGTATTGCTTAATATATTGTAATGTAATTGTCATCTTTGATAATGGCTTATGTAAGTTGAAAGCTTAGATAGGCTTATCGGACGATATGAAAAAATTTATATAAAATAAATAGACAACACTTGTCTATATTATTTAATGAAACACACATACATATATATATATAACCAGCTTGATTCAACTTCCAGTCACATAAAAAAAATTAAAGATTTTATTGTGACAATTATTTAGCATATCCGCTCAAGTATGATGAAGGTTTAGATGATCTACAAAGTCCCTTTCCTAAGATAACTGTTTCTTGTTTTCTTCTTCATCAATATATGTGCATCACAATATTTCATCAGATAAATCAATAATTTCTATTTTCATTTCAAATCATGAGTTTCTATGTTTTTTTTTTCTTTTGCTTCTTGTGTAATTCTTCAAGACTTTGCCAGTCACTCATGAAATGTGTTCAGTTTGTCATATTTCGCCAATTTCACGTTTCAGCATAAAAAAGACAAAAAAAAAAAAATAGCTACAATTAAAAATGTTTCACTCTGCACAAACTGAATCTGAAGTGTCAAGTCTTGAAATATATTTTTCTACAGTTGTGTCTATCTCTCCTCACAGTTTTAATGTGTGTCTACACGTGCCTTGATGTGTTAGTGTTAAAATATATCTATCCTTGTGTTTACAAAGCTATGTATATGGGGTTAAGAACATGTGGTACACACATGTGTTAGGGAGCAAGTGATTATGTCTGAATGTAAAATATATGTACATGTTTTTCTTTACCTTCCATTTCTCTCTCTATTAATTTATTTACCATACAAGTCTGAGTAATTTCTGCTTTAAATAACAGTTATATAAGAGTTTCTGTTTTTGGGTTATGTCACTTTCGTCATTTTTCAAATATCATGTCTTCACATAATAGATCAGGTTGTTGTCTTTTTTTTTATTCATGAATTATATTTTGTATGTTTGTTTTTAAATTTGATAAAATTTTATAATGTGGAGATTTTTATTTAATGCTTTTACTATTTGTAGTTATTTTTTCACAGTTTGTGTTAAAGATGAGTATTTGTCTGGTCTCATAGTGATTTAATTGAACTATTATCAGATCAATGCCAATTTAATCAGTGCAGTAAGGTAGTGGTTGTGTAACTGTTATAAGTCACTCTTAATGGTTATATTATATCTTGCTTAGGCTAATTGCCTTGATGT